ATCTGATTTCTCTCAACATGGGGACAGGAGAGCTGTCAATCAATAAATTGGAAGAAAAAAAGTAACTTGCGTTACTTATTTGAAAAAGTAACTCAGATATTCTCTTGTAAATTAAAAAGTAATGCGTTACTTTACTAGTTACTTGAAAAAAGTAATCTGATTACGTAACTCACGTTACTTGCAATGCGTTACCCCCAACACTGATAATAACGTATGCACCAAATTACACAAAAGCGACACAAATATTGTTAGTGTATTTTAAAATGGGCCGTAATATATCGGGGGATATTGCTGTATGTTTTTGAATACTTTCTAGATTAATTGATAAATCACTGATATTGGTTTAAAATCGAAACATAAATATGCATGTTAGAATCAAGTCATTCGAGCTTTCAGTTTCTCATTCTTTACCTTTTACTGCATTATAAAGATGTTCAGATTACAGATTGTGTATTTGGACGTGTTCCGACTGAGGATTTAGCTTTGGGAAATATTTTAATTTGACTTCACTAAAGAGAACAAAATGACTTTATTTTGTTATCCGTAAAAGGAGATATTAAATAAAAAGATCTGATTTTCCCACGTGAGCCTGTAGTCGGAGAACTACTCCTAATCAAGCACAGCTATAAATGCAAGCTGAGTCTATAATTAACAGTGTTGGGGAAAGTTACTTTTAAAAGTAATGCATTACAATATTGCGTTACTCCCTAAAAAAGTAACTAATTACGTTACTTAGTTACTTTTTATGGAATGTAATGCGTTGCGTTACTTTTGCATTACTTTCGCGTTACTTTTTCACTAAATTCACGTCTGTACAGTAGAACGCAGGAGAAGAAACACTCTTCAGCAATAAAAAAACAATGAAGCACAATTGTTAGTTTCTCTAAAGTAAGTTTTGCTTATTAGTACGGTTGAACTGGATCATCAAAGGTCAGCAGCAAAGATATTGGTTAATAAAATGGGATTAGATACATTTGATGTTAACATATCTAATTATTGCAGGTTTGCATCATATTCTGAGTTTGCATTTCACTGTTTTAATTCATTTTGATGAATAGCAAATCTGTTTTTTGTGAGTGGGATGAATTAATGCACATTCACATTTAGTCTAGAACTACATCATGTTCACACAACGCCTCTGCACTTCCGATTTCTCCCAATATGGGGACAGGAGAGCTGTCAGTCAATAAATGGGAATACAAAGTAACTGGCGTTACTTTAAAAAAAAAGTAATGCGTTACTTTACTAGTTACTTGAAAAAAGTAATCTGATTACGTAACTCGCGTTACTTGTAATGCGTTACCCCCAGCACTGATAATTAACACCACGCTTTCCCAATGGATGCAGGACGTGACAGACCTGGTCAAATCCTAATGCATACATCTATATAGTCATTATACCTTTTAAATTAAATCTATCAAAACCCTTTTCTACGGTAAATTCTAAACACTGCTCATTTTCTAGAGCTGACCAGGAGCTATGAGGGCCCTTCACCGTCTGACTTTGACAGAGGCTTTTGTGCGGACCAGAGTCTGTCTTTATCAGCGGTTTCAGCCGATGGCTTCCTGAGACCAAACAAAGGCATGGTGCTGAGTATCCAGAGCCCAACTGTGCTGTTGCACCATGTCTGAACTACACCACAAGCCTTTCCTCACCTTTAGTTGCCCTCGACAAGAACGCTCTCTCTCCTGGCAGCAGCCTGAGCACAGCGCTGGGCAGTCCAGTGCAAGGCAAGTCCTCCACACCCTACGAGAGAGTCCAGTTTCAAAAACCCGTCCTGGCCAGCTCGCTGGACCTGTCCTGCGTCGATCTGACCACCACTCACCCGTCGTGGGAAGTGTCCCTTGTGGAGGCCATAGTCGAGAGCCCAAAGTCATGTATGGAGTCCTATTAACCTGTCGGCCCCTCCTGAGGTCTCTCTGGTGTCGTCAGGAAGGTCCCCTCACCCGAACGTTTCAGAGGAGCTTCGGCGCTCGTGGAGGGAAATGGTCCGGCAGGGATCTAGTCGGGTTCCTGCAATCCCAGATCTCCGAGAGGAACAGAGCTCCTCTAACTCGGCCATTTGATAGACACCATATCTGAGGTATGTATGTGCACTAATGCAAACCCTGGAAAAACTTGGTTTGTTCTAATATGCGTCTTTATTTTACAGGCTTCTTACTAGAGCGGTACCCATGTTTATATAAACTTATTTTTGTACTATAAATGTATTTAATCAAAAAATAAAGTGTGTAGAAATTACTTTCATTTATTAATGTTACAAAGTGTCTACTCAAATCGATGGCTCTTTGTGAGCTTGCACGATGTTTAAGAATGTGCAATTATTATTTCGTCCACTGTGGAAATGTGGAAATGTGTTATTTTCTAAATTAATTTGTGCCCGCCTGCTGCTGTTGTCCTGGGACTCTGGGGTGTCCAATCCTGCTCTCTGAGGGCCAATGTCCCACAGATTTTAGCTCCAACACACTTGCCTGGAAGTTTCTAGTGAGCCTGAAGCCTATTATCTTGATCAGTTGTGTTTAATTGGGGTTTGAGCTCAACTCGGCAGGACAGCGGTCCTCCAGGAACAGGTTTGGACAGCCCTGCTCAAGAGTCACCTGGCATTTAGGGTGTTTAATGCCACTCAGCGGGTGTTGCATGCATCTGTCCATGCGGAAACAATAGCGTCTGTCTGCTGAGAGATCAAAACAAAACAACGGTCACTAATTAGAAGTACAAAACGAGGATTTGTAAAGAAGAATGTCAGAGGATTTGGATATAAGCCAAGAGGAGACTGGTTTTCCTTTGCTAAAGTAAGGAAACATTGCTTCCTTTGATCCTGTTAACAAACGTTGGACTCACCGGCGCATGCGCAGCACTGACCTCATACGTCATGCTCCCGGAGCTGTATGGCTCTGGGGTGAGTAAAACACAGCCTAATTTAAATTTTTGGGTGGACTAACCCTTTAATATCAATCTCAAACATGGGATTTGGACCCCAATGTGTATGTATACAAATGAGAAAACGAAGCTCATATATTTATTGAAAGAAAAAAAAAAAAACTATTGTTACAAGAAATGTAGTGGATTCTTTAAAACATATGCCTGATAAAGTTCATAATGAAGAAAGTTCTGATAAACCACACCTGACTTTTCTTGCACTGGAAGTAAAGCAAGTGTGGTTTGTTTGCAGTTTTGAGTGTCTATACTGTGCATTTTCACACAGGTCTCAAAAACAAGTCCTTGCTGCAAAACTCCAGAGATCCGTAGCCTGTCTACTTCAATACATGTTGAACCTTGCTTCTGTGGTGTCAATATCGTGCTCCTGGAGGGAAGGGGAGACGTAGCAGGTTTAGGGTAATAATTCAGCCAAAAATGGTCATTTACTCTTTCCCCCATGTTGTTCAAACCACATTGACCTGTTTTTTTCTTCCCCAATAATTAAACAATGCGTCATCAGAGTTGGTCATTTTCTGTCCTCCGTCAAACACAAAAAGAGATTTTAGGCAGAATGTCCAAGATGCTCTTTTCCATAAAGGATGTTTTCAAAGCTTGGCATTATAAATGACAAAGAAAGCAACATTATACACCAGCATCATAAAAGCAGCTCTTCCAACTTGTGTTTCATTCTTTATTCTCTTTAGTCTTTTGATGGTCAGTGACGCACAGACTAAAATGTAAGTTTACTTAATTTTTTTAAGTAATGTTGTGAAGGATTTAAGACTACTGTTTTTGGGTCCTTTTCTGAGCATGGCACTTTCATTGTGTGGAAAAGTGCAGCTTTTTGCCAAGTATTTCTTGTTTCATGGAAAAAAAGAAAACCATACAGGTTTGAAACCTGTGGGTGCACAATGATTTCACTACGTTAACGACTAAATGAATGGTCAGATAGAAATGTTTCTGCACGTTCAACTTACTTGATTGATTTTCTTAAACTCCACCACCTGGAAGAAGACGTGTTCCAGTATGTGCTTGGCATCTCTTTTGTCCTTGTCTAGCTTTCCTGTCACTCCTAAGATGTCTCCACATTTACGTACATAAAACTCCAGATCATCATCGGTACCTTACAGAAGATGAGACATCCATTACCAATCAATCAGCATCCACTCGAGCTAGAAACGATGACAGTAACAGAACTCTTTCTGAGCATTTGAACGAATGGTAGAGACTCACATTTATTTGAGAGCTGAGCCAACCTCACTTTCTCAGAAGAAAATGTCTCATCAAGGTCAAAAAGGTCAAGCATGGGTGGCGGAAGGTCCCTAAAGGCCGGCTGAAAGACCTGAACACAAAACAAAGCCTCAGGGAAACGGATCGTCTACAAACAGACCCATAAACAAGCACGCAAACTAGTTGTGAACTATATAGTACATTTAGCATGGAATAACACAGGAAAATCAAGGCAGATAATAATGAATTGATTTGATCCATCGTAGAGTACTGCGGGGATGATGTTAGACGAATTAGCATTAGAATTGTCACACTGGGCATAAACCCAGTTGCATAAATTTAGCCACTATGTTAAGACTGTGTCCTGAGAACTAGTCTGACTAACTAGCAGTTAGCCAAGGGGTTATTGAGTCTTATTTTTTGGATTCAAATTAGACCAATCTATATTTTAAAGGGGTCATGAACTGCCTCTGTTTATTATTTTGTATTGTTCTCTGAGGTCCACTTATAATGTTATCAAGACATCCTTCACAGATGGACGCTGCTGTGATTTAAGTCAAAAACGCATTAATACTCAGTACATATCAAACGATCTGTTTAACAGACAAAGCAATAGTGATCACATAATAAAACAGTTACACTTGTGTGTTGTGATATTACGGTCAGATCCAATATAGTCGGCACAGCATCATCTTTTAGTTTCAATCTTTGTGAAAATCCTGCGTCGAATTGTGCCTTGTTTCTAAACGAATCCGCGGTGAAATTAAGTGAACAAAAGACCAGGGCCCGTATTCACAAAACATTTTATCTTACCACTAAGATTTCTCCTAAATAGCAGTAAAAGTTTTTAGCTAAGAGTTTTCTCTTAAAACCTGTTCACAAAGCTGCTGAGACAAACTTTTACTAAGGACTAGAGAGAAGTCTTAAAGGGATAGTTCACCCAAAAATGAAAATGCGATGTTTATCTGCTTACCCCCAGGGCATCCAAGATGTAGGTGACTTTTATAAAAGCATCCAAAAAGCAGCATGTCATGGGACCTTTAAGGGGGCGGGGTTGAGCTCATTGCTATGGATGATGTCAGCATGCTTATTAACTATGCACACAGTGTTTGGCTGATAATCTCTGCCAGAGATTTATTCATAGAAATATTGTAGAGTGCTATATTATGTTGCCATATTCAAATAAATGTTTAAAAATAAAAAATGTTAATTGCCACATTCAAATAAAGATTTTAAAATGCAGGATAAATGTCACTAATTAAACAAGTATATGTTCAGCTTGTTGTCAGCCTCTTACACGTATGCTTCTCAAAAATAATCTATGGCACCACTCAACGCCTAAACAGAGCCTGCGGTGGTCAGGTGGTACAAGTCGTAGCTCTCAGAAAACTCCCAGTTCACAAGTTGTAGTTACGAGTTCTACGGGGACGTGAACGCTTTTTACAAGTTGGAATCTCGTAATTATGGGAATTCCAATATGGCGTGAACGCACTTTTATTCATAGAAATATTGTAGAGCACAATATTATGTTGCCGTATTTAAATAAAGGTTTAAAAATAAAAATGTTAATTGCCACATTCAAATAAGTATTTAAAAATGCAAGCTAAGAGTCACTAATTAAACAAGTATATGTTCAGCTAATTGTCAGCCTCTTACATGTGTGCTTCTCAAAAACAATTAGCGGATATGCATATAAACAGCCTTTTAATTAACTGAGTAGAATAATCATAGCTGATATTAATACATGCAAATGTAAAAAAAAAAAAAAAACTGGACGCAAGAACAGCTGTTACTTCTTGCCCAACTGGTTAATGAAAACAAGGATATGATCAAAGGAAAATTTGGAGTTGGGATAACCTCCAAAACCAAAGGCGATGCCTTTTTAAAAGGACATTATCATCAAATGTTCCTAAAATGTTTATATTCCGAGGCAGATTGCTGTCAACAGCCACTTTAGGATAGTTTGTGGCTTGGTCTTAGTGACTTAGGAGTCCTCTTCACTACTCCTAACCGTTGACAGATTTAGGAGCTAGTTTTAGTGCTAAAACGCTTTGTGAAATACTCTTAGAGCAAAAATGAGTCCTAAATTTAGTATTGACACGCCCATTATTTTTAAGTTTTTCTCTTAAATCGGCGAGTTATGAGCTACTTTTAGCCCTAAGATGTTTTGTGAATACGGGCCCAGGTTCTTAATGACATGGTCTGGAACTTCATTAAAAATAAAGTTCATCCACTCTTTACTAATGTTAGGATCAGAAGGAAGGCAATGCAAAGACTGTGCACTGCACAGCGTCTTGTTGTCTTCGGAGCCATCTTTATTGTTTGGTTTCTGCATAGACCTGCATTCACCCTTCTCGTTATTTACACTACATGCACGAATCAGTGGGCAGGGCTAAACAGTAATGCTGGGATCAGAAGGAAGGCAATGCACAGCGTCTTTATCATTTGGTTTCTGTGTAAATCTGCACGTTCGCCACTCCCGTTATTTACACTACATGCACGAGTTGGTGGGCGGGGCTAAACAGGCAGTGCTGTAGAATCAGTGGGCGGGGCTAAACAGGCAGTGCTGTAGAATCAGTGGGCGGGGCTAAACAGGCAGTGCTGTAGAATCAGGCGTTGATATTCTGCGGAGGCAGTGCTTATCCACACTATTACATCCTAGAGTAGAACATTCCATAAGCTGTCATTTTGGCAAAATGCCTTCAATATAAACAGTTTTTAGAGTAACGACAAAGTTTTGAGTTCTGAAACGTACAGGATGTTTTTATAGTACAATGACCTCTTATTAGGGCTGGCAAAATGGCTGAAAAACTAAATTCAATTTAAATATTATCAAAATTCGAATTATATTCGAATTTAAAATGCATAATTTCAGTTAGGGTGAAGAAAAGCTTTTGGCTTCTCTTCTGAGGCCACAAGAGGGCGCATCGAGCAAAATATTACTAATGCACGTTTATTCAAAGCATAGGATAAAATTACTATCTATGAAAAAAGTGCATAATGATTAAAATAATGTTTACAAACCAATTATAATTGATTAAGTTGCTTACACAACTATAAATAAAACAGCATCATGTATGTATGCATAATTTAATACAAAGGGCCGAAAGCCAATCACACAGAGTACATTTTTTTTTTTTTTGACAGCCCTACCTCTTATATGTCAAAAGATCAAGGGAATTTTGGTTTCTCAGTTCATGGCCCCTTTAATGTAACCAACTATGGTTATGACTATTCCTAAATAAAAAATTAGATGACTAACTTGTAACACTTACTAAGCCTTCTATACCACCGGCCACTGAAGTGGGTTTTTGGTTTAATATCTGAAATAAGGTAGGTTTTTACCACAAGCTCAAGATATTTTCACGTTTTATTCTACAGCCTCTAATATAAAAAGTAATGCCCCTTTATGATGTTTTTAAAGATTTTACTTGTCCTTTTGCTAATAAGTGTCTAAATAAGTGTCTTAAATGACATTAAGCATCATCACCCTGAACAGGTAAACTCGTCTACTCACTAGTCGCTTTCACAGCCTTGCGTTTATTATCGCACTCTTGCAAACTATTCTAACTCAAACTTGTTTTTTTTTTGTTTAAATAAAGACTGAAAGAGGTGTTGGAAGCTTAATGGTAGTGAAGTCATGTGACCATGGTGTAGTTCATTTATAGTGTACATTTAGCTTTTTACTTCTGCTGATTTACTTCTGTCTTTAGGCTTCAAAATTCATAAAAGTTGTGCTTGTTTATAAAGATTATTAGTCACAGAGCCTTCTGCAATAAACCAAAAGCCAGTGGAAAAATTCTATTGGGTTTTTGTCGAGGGAATCAGGGTGATGCGGACTTGTGGCTTGGTCTACAAAAGTAAACCATGAAAGCAGCGCTCTATTTCGTTGGATTATAAAAAGTAAGCTATGATATAATTGGTTATAATTGCATTTCTCCACCCATGCAGCCTTGATTGCATCAGCAGAATAGAAAAGTTGCATCAGAGATGGACAACGTTTGGTTTGGTTACATTTTTTTCTTTTTCGTCCTACGGTAACAAATAAACTCTAAGCTAATGTGCGTTTGGAAACAGACTCACGGCAGGCTGCAGCGGAGGCAGAGGTGTTTCAAACTGTGGTGTGATCAGCTGGAGAGCTTCATGTTTGACATTCAGCTGCTTGTAAGCACTAAAAAAAAAACAGACATGACAATAGGTATTGCTTCAGCGCTTGCCTGATTGGCCAAACACACGACTCGTGTCTTTGTGACAGTGATAGTTCTTATTTACCAACTCTTGTGATTTTAAAGCACACAAGAATAGTTTTAACATTCACACTGAATGTACGACTGCGTGTGATTTTTCGGTTAGAGCACAACATGAAAGCCTCTTTAAGAAATGTTAACTGAAGGCAGTTCTTACTCCAGGACAGAGGGAAGAGTGTTTGTGTGCAGCTTTAGCAAAGACATGTCAAACAGAGCTGTGAAATCTCGCGGGTTCTCGTCTCCCTCCTGCAGACACACTCTCAGACGGTCGGACAGACTCCCTGTGTCCGGCAGCATGGTGTAGTCTGTGATCTGGGGAAAAATGAAGCCAGTTTACACGGTGAAAACAGTGTCACTTCCCAGCCCCGTAGCATGAGCTGTGCTCTTAGTCAGGCCCTTCAAATGTTTGCGATCAAGAAGATTTTATTCAGCAAGGATGCATTAAATTGATCAAAAGTAACAGTAAAGACATTTCAAATAAATGCTGTTCTTTCCAACTTCGTATTCATCAAAGAATCCTGAAAAACGTATGAGAGTTTTCAGAAATGATGATAATAATCAGAAATTATTCTTGAGCAGCAAATCTGCATTTCTGGAGAATCGTGTCTGGAGAGTAATGATGCTCAAAATTCAGCTTTGATCACAGGATTAAATGACATTTTCATATTTATTACAGTAGATAAAATGTATTTGAAATTGTAATAATACTTCACAACATTACCATTTTTACTGTAAATTAAAACAGCCTTGGTGACTTTTAAAAGATTTCTTTTAAAACATTTGAGCTGAGCCCAACGGAGCCCAAACTTTTGAATGGTATTGTAAAATACGAGTTTCCTAATCAGAAATTATACATGAACAGCCTCTCGAGTCGTATTTACTACTGGGAAACTCTGAGATAATTTGATTCCAGAGTTTCTGAGTTGGGCGAGCCATTTACTTTAAACATGCACAATGGCTGCTGATATCAGTGCTGTTCTTTATTCGTTTTTTTTCAACTACATCACCTTGTCTTGTCGATAAAGTAGTGCATATTTATATATACAGTATGAGCATTTGAAGTATGTTTTATATACAGTGAAATAAGCATGCATTTGACTGAAAATCCAGAATCGTTAGCAAGCTGTCTAGCACTGTGAATGTTTATAGGGTTGTCAACCAATGGGATGCTACATTTTTTACTTTCCGACAACAGAGCACTTGAATACGACAAGCTCGTAATCATGAATTTATAAGTGCGAAATACGAAATTTCCGACAGCACGTGAAGGCAGCATAGGTTAAGCAAGTGTAAGCACTCACCTCTGGGTCCTCTGCATCTATCTGGTTGAGAGGAATGCTGTCTGTTGTAAGCCACTGGAAAACAACATCCTGGAAAATAGACATTATATTGTATTAAATTGTGAACGAATAAAAAAGGTTTTCAATTTGGAAATGAAATGTGAGTGCTGCTTGCCGATGCAAAACTCATTATCCTAAAGCTGTGGTCACAACAGGTAACATTTATACGGAAACTGCAGTGGTTTTAATATGACGACACTCTCTCTAGAGTCTTTTTAAAAAACATAATACTACATAGAATACCTCCAAAAAATAGTAATTAAAAAAATACATAATCTACTTCACTTTAGATCTAAAGTTTGTAAGCTAAACACTCCAATACAGTACACAACTTTTAAAATCTGAACAACCACTAGCCATTACACACTCGGTTTAAAATGTTTAAAAAAAGTTAAAAGATACTTCTTTAGAATCAAAGTCTGAAGCTATAAAGGCAGAGTCTGTGCCCTTCATACACTATATCTTCTATAACTTCAACTGCCCAAAATCTGCAGACTAGTGCAGACTCTACCTGACTGAAAAAATCAGGAGAAAGAAACGCATGCAGGTTTGTAACTACTCGAGGGTGAATAAACAATGACAACATTTTTTATTTCATCCTTTAAGCCACATTATTTGAGCAGTCACCCATGCTCACTGCACAAATCCAGCAGGACAAGCTATGGGCGAAGGTTTAGGAGTAGTGGGTTGAGCGCTAGTTAAGCAGTACTTTGAACAAACCTCTAACTAGCGCTGGGCGGTATGACCAAAAATTTATATCACGGTATTTTTAAAAATTATACCGGTTTCACGGTACATGACGGTATTTTTTTTTTTCATGCATGACCGGGTGTTAACCACATTTTCCACTGATCGAGAGGAAATACTGCAGTATATTGACTTAAAATGCCCTATTTTACTGTCATGATGAGTGAATATTGTCAAAAAATACCACACTAAATAGTGACTAAACACGACCCCTTTTAATACGTTAACCAGGAGTCACTCTCATTTATAATCACGGCAAACAGTGTCGCGTTCCTGAAGGTTGTTTAAGCGACATATACCGGTATTGCGGTATTTAAAAAATTCATATCATAACAAAAATAAACACCGGTATTCGGTATGAACCGGTATACCGCCCAGCACTACCTCTAACCCTACACTTTCATCAGCAGTAACAGTGACGTTCTGCAATAGCAACCGGATACCTTACCATTATTTTACTATTCTCCTCCTTGTCCAGGTACTGGTCACTGAACATGTGACATGAGCCCAGAACGGCCAACTTGCCAGCGTTCTTGATACAAACAGAGACACAATCAGAGCACAGAAGAAAGCGCAGTGAGTGTAACACAAGTAAGATAATCAGACTGACTGTACACACCTTAGACTGATGGAAGGCCAGAACAGGCCTGTTGAGCGGAAAGCACACAGAGCCGGTGGACAGCACGGCCACCGCAGGCTTCATCACGTTTAATGTGGCCCCGTAAGGGTATATGAATGTAAGTGCCCTGTTTAATCGTCAAATAAGAACTCGTTACGCTTTCTTATTTGGAACTTTAACTATAAAATCAGCAGAGTTACACTTAAACATTGTTAATGTTAACAACAACACAAACAGAACATTCAGCTCAAGCTTACTGTGAATTGTTCCCTGTGTTTTCTTCATCGATCACCCCCGTCACCACTTTACCAGCGGCACGACTGATCTCTCTGAAATAAAGATAAAAAGCATTTCAATTCTGTACAGACTGGTTTGTTTTAATGCAAGCTTTACACAAATCCAGACATGTGAATACACACGGGAGACACAAACCTGTTCAGAACACCATTGGACACAAGTGCTTCTTTAGGATGGAAATATTTGTAGTAGACGTTCCTTATTACTGCATCTGGAAGAACATTGAAACTTTATTAAACCTCTTCCAAGATGAACACATTTTAAATGCCTAAATTCAAGTTTCTGATTTATGTGAGGCACAAAATAAAGAAAGCCAAGGTGCTGGAGGCATCCTGACATCATACTGAAGAAAAACAGTGACATAATGTGACAAGACATTAAAAATAATAATAATAAAAAATAAATAAGTACGTTTTGTACCCTAATAAATATGATTAAAATGTGTCCACGCAAATGTATTCAAGGTGTAAGGAAAATATTTTATTACTTTTTACACCATCTTTGGTCATTAAAGCAAAAGCTTTCTCAAACGTATATTTTAAAAACAAAATGTTTAATATTTCTAAGAACCTGACACATGTATTTCATGCAACATTTAAAATTAGTGCTGTCAAACGATTAATCGCATCCAAAATAAAAG